AACCTCACAAATAATTCAGAATAATTTAACATTATTGTAATCCTTTCAATACAGAGATATCAGGAGCTCATTCGTAAATTGAACTCCTTACCTGTTCCTTATGACTCCTATTCAATTATAAAGAATTAAGATAACCAATAACAGAAAAGGAACCTAGATATTGTGGAGAAAGCCAGGAAGTTGCGCATCACTAATGAACTTGAAGATATTTAATTCCTAATATAGAAGACAACATCCCCCACAGGTTATAGTACAACTGCTCGATATATATGCTTACTATGTAAAATATCTAGAGGCGAAAACCAGAAAAAGCGGAGATCATTCCTCCTTCCCATAATGAGGAATAGTAGTCCTCAACGAGGAGTAGGGTTATATGACAGGAAGACACCTATATATAAATGAAGATTAATATGTCCTCTCCCATTGTCTTTAAAATTCAGAACCATATAGAGGGAAATTTTCGGGAACTCCCATATTCTGATATGCAGGTAACAGTACCATCAAGAATTGTTAAATATGATATCAAACCGGACCCCTTAAGGACCGAATCAGGGAGGCCTAGGATGCCAAGGGGGCTATATTATAGAAGATATAGATATTAGTGTCTCTAATGGAAGCGTTGGGGAATAATATACAGAACAGCCAGGGAGGTGATATCCAAGGAATAAACTCTGAACCCTGAACACCATACTAGAACAAGGACTTGATTCAAAATATATGGAGTGTACGACTTAGGTTAATTCTAATATTCTAAAATAGGGGGGTCCTAATGACATCCCAAGGTGGGTCAACGAATACCTTCCAAGATGCACTACCTGGATGACCCCCTTACCCAAGGAAGGAAAGGGTGGGATGGAACGACTTATTCACAACATCATCCTGGGTCAAACACAATTTATCAGGACAGATCTAGTCCTGATTACAATCCTTCTCTTATAACTCATATTAGACGACTCACAACAGTGTCTACTGGGTCTTCATCCTGTAAGATGACTTCCTATGTCAAAGGGGGGAAAAAACCAACATTTTCTCAATTCAAAACTCCTTTACTTGACTTAACTAATCCAATATAAAAAAAATGCCATTTTTGGGAATCGAACCCTAGTCGAATTAATTGCATAATAGGACTGATTGGTTGAAGGACGATGATGTAGGACGATGTCATCTGTTACCAGACAATGAATCACCTCTTACTATCCCCTAATCATTCTTCTGATGGACAACTTCCATCCCGTGGTGGAAGGATTGGACAATGCAAAAAGGATGACTCTAACTTCTAACTTACAATACTCTATTTCATGGGAGTCACTAACTGAGTGTGAAATCACTCATCCTTCCAATGGTAATTTAGGTTATGCAAAGATTAATCCGCTCCTTACTCCACCTCCTATAATATAGGGCCATATCATGACTAAATAAATTTTCTTTACCAAACCCGACTATTACATGGGCAACACTATTCACACGTATATTATAAGTGTATAATGATTATTCCTCCACCCTACACCGCAATTTCCGAAATTTCCGAGAACTCATTCAACGACTAGACTAATACCACCAACTAGACTGACGTGTCAAAGGAGGGGCAAAACAATAGATGATCAGACAAACCCCCATTGATAAACTAATCACTCCACTATAGAACTCAGAGGTTCCAGCTGACTCTTCCTAACATCCTTAATAAAGTGATACTATCCTTATCTCTAATAGTAGTGTCTATAGGAATAACGTTGTTAGGGTAGACAGTCCGTTGGTAGGTTACTTACTTCCTCTATATAATGTTATGTTACATTTCTCCTTCCAACTTACAAAACAGTCACTGAAATACAAGCCTTCAAGGGTTCGACCTAGATCCGAGGTCCATCCAAGTTTCCGACAAAAACCAACTTCCTCCTATAGACTACTCCATGGCTGTTACTGGAAGCCCCAATAATACTGATACAGGGAGGGTGTAGCAATATATTGAGTACTTTAACTTGGACAAAGACAACTCCTCATGAATAACTCACAACCACGATGATCCTAATAATGAGCGATGAAAACCTATGGAAAATGTAACAAATGATTAAATTGTTGTTCTAGATGACTCACTATATGGAGGTGCTCATATAATCTACTTATCAGAAGATAGCTCATTGGGGACACCTGGTTGACCCCCCAAGGGAGGATGAAACCATCATCCTGGGTTTTTGTCCCTCTTTTTTTGATAGGACAAAGAAGAACAAATCGATAAAACAAGAACTCTTCTAAGTACAAGATCGGACCCATCCTGGTTCTTTATTGGTCACTCGCTTGGTACCACTGCTTATAAAGAAGGAACATGGCGACACCAGCCACGTCAAGGGAGGTTCATTCTATATCATGACCCATTAATGAATCGTTTCTTGACAAAGGCGTTGATTCACATATAATTATGTTGACAGAGTGGACACCTCCACTCTCCAGCCTGGAACAATCTAGCTCCTCTAAGAACGATGGAGGCCCTGCTTCACTAATATTAAACAAACAAACAGAATAATAAGAGGTAAAGGATTAAACATATTAAGAAAATGTAGATTGATCCTAGCAAAGATTGAAGACAAAAAGTACTGTTCGGAGAATAACTAAAGTATAGAAACAAGGTAACATCACATCAGAAATAAAGCCTTCGTGGACCCGGGTGAAAACCGAAGCCCTGACTCAACGTTGTAAACAACCGTATCAAATTGTCTTGGGGAGAGGGGTCATATTAGTATGTTTAATTTCCCACCCATAAAACCCTGGACCCTAAGACCTAATCCTAAACTCTGAACCCGAAATCCTAAGCCCTAAACCCTGAACAATAACCCCTAAATCCTAAACCCTGAACACTAAACCCAGAAACCTAAACCCTAAACCCAGGAGCCTAAAACATGAAAACCTGAACCAAAACCCCAGAAACCTAAACCTTAAGCCCTAAACCCTAAACCCAAGACCGTAAACATAAACCCTAAGAGAAGCCCCTGACTCCTGAAACCTCAAACCGAAACCCTGAAGCCTAAAGCCCTAGAGCCTAAAACCTCAAACCTCAACACTACCCGCTAAACCCTAGACCCTAACCCCTGAATCCTAAGACCCTAACCTTAAACCTCAAATCCTGAACCCTATACGTAAAAGATAACCCCTACACCCGAAACTTCAACCTCCTTCCAACGTCCTTATCCCTTCGCCTCCACTCTTAACGTCCCCCAAAGGACTTCATAACTTCATCTCACTCCTGAAAAATCCTCGGTCCCCTTAGAGTCAAAGGCCCAAGAGATCCTCTTCAAGAGTCGCTTCATTCCTTCCCCTCCTGAGGATCCCCCTAATAACATATCCGCCCCACTAAACCCCTGAGGGTACCCTTTTGCCTACCTATTGATTATCGGGTCCCCGAATTTTTGCATATCCAATCATGGGGTCAGATTTCACCCCCCTGGGGTTTCCTCTTCTGCTCCGCTTCCTCATCACTCGATACGAGCCAATCATCGCACTCACCCCTAATACCACCGCAGTAACACCTCCTATTATCTTTTCTAACCCCCCCCCGTCCTGGGCCGCTAGTTGCGCCTTTACGAGATTTTCCACCCTTTGCAATTCATACAGATGCTTCTCGGCTTGGTTCTCATGCTGTTGTTTATCCTTAATAGCAGGGGTATTCGAATGATATGTATCATTAGTTCTCGTCATGATTGTCATAATGGAATTAACATTAACACTAAAACATGAAACTCTCCTCCCTCCAGATACTGTTGTTTCTCCTCTCAGGCTTAGACTCTCACTCGTCGTGTTCTCAAGAAATACCAGCCCTCGGGGTTCATGCTAGGGCGGTTTTGTCTTTAACGCCCTTGAAAATTCATGTCTCTTGCTCGTCCAGGTCCCTCATAACCCCCGACTTTCGCTTCTTTTGATCGTTGTTGCTGTGTCCTTACCTTGTTGAAGTTTTCTACCTGTTCCGTGCCTAGTTTGTCCTCTCCTACTTCTCCCAGATTCTCACAGTCGTTGTTATTCACTGTCCTTAAACAGCTGACTTCCCACTTATTCTTATCTCCTTGCTTCCTATCGCATTGAAGCTCCGTAACATAACTTCTCGCGGTTTTAAAGAAGGGTTCCCAGAGACTACTCCGACTTTTGCCGTGTTGAAATACTGGTAAGCCTGCTTCTCTCATGTCTTCTTGTTCTCTATTGTAGAACCATTCTTTCATCACCTCGTCAGCGACATCTTCTCCTCCCCACTCTTTCAGATAGTTATATATAGCCTGACATGCATCCTCACTCTTTATTTGCCAGCCCTCTTCTGATGTCTCTATGTTCTGATACAAATTCAAGATTATACTCAGCATATCCATACAGGTTGCTAAGGTTGCTTGATACTTCTGTCCTCTCCATAATTCGTTGGAACGAGTTAACGCAGACCATTGATTATTTTCTTCTGTTGGTTTACATTCCGATCTCGGAAGGCCATTAAATAAAAATCCCACTCCCTCGACTTTGCATGAGGACTTGTCCGGGGACCAATGATCCTGTTCCGTTTCTACTAAATTATTTATCCATAACTCTAGGCTCTGGCACATTAATATACTTCTCAACCTAAGCCCACTTAACCTCGTCAAGCCAAGTTCCAAGGGATTGTGCCACCTATCCTCCTCAATCTTCCCTGAATGGGTCGCTGACTTGCCGGTCAACTCGCTCAATCTGATGTTCACCTTCCCTGCCTCAGTCTTCGGTTCCTTCCCTGCCTTGCGCCACAGCACTTCCTCTATCCACTTGCTGAATCTTATCGGCATCTTTTGGTCAGACTCCTTAAGCTTAGAAACACTCCCTCTGCTTACTTAAAACCCTCTTGCCCGGCATAAGGAATAATCTCCTCGGATGGAGGCCTGTAGCCATGACTCGACTCCTCTGAATGCTTCGTGTACTGGCGCTTGTCCCCCCCGTCTCTCTGTACTCTTTCGGTTCGGATCGTTGAGTTGTTATATCTGTTCCTGTGGAGGCACGGAGGCTGTTTGGTGTTTTTGCAGGTTTCCTTCCCTTCTCTACTCTATATCACTCTCTGGAGAGTCCAACTCCTGACCCCTTCTTGGGTGCTTCAAGACTCCTGGGAAATTGAAGGTCCCCCCTTCTCCTTGATCATATCCCCGGCGCGGTCGCTCCTCTGCTTCATATCTCTTCCCTCCCTCCCCCTTCTTATTAGACCTCCTCGCTCCACTCCTCCCGGCCCCTCTTCCCCTTTGGGTTTCCTCGTCTTTAATCGTCCCTTTCTTGAAACCCCTTCTCCCTTCCTCCTGACGTCGAACCTGAACCCCCCCCCTTCAGAAAGTACTTCTCCATCTTCCCCTCTCGTGGGCTGGGTCTCCCCCTATGTTTCCTCCCTGTGCCCCCTCGTTCATCCTCTCTTCCCGTTGTCACCTCCCTCAAAGGCTTCTCCTTTCCTGAATCTATACTTGCTCCTATCTTCGGTGTGCCCCCTTCCGACTTCGCCTAATCCTGACTTTGGGTGGTTGCTTCCCTGCTTGACTGTGATTTCCCTATCCTCTTGTTATTCCTGTTGTACTCCATGGTTCCCTTTCCCGTTCCCTGGGGGGTCTCATCCCTACCTGAAGGACTCCTCTGTGGTCCCCGCTCCTCCTCTCCCCCAGTCGTCTCAGACTCTTCATCCCCCCCCTCGCGTGCCGCTCCCTTACTCAAAAGTTCTAACACCTGGTCTGTCTTAGTCAAACCCCTTCTCTCCCCCTCAGCTTGGGCGTGGCCCCCATCTCTCTCCCAAGGAAAACTTGATCCTGCGGTTTCCTCACTCTTTCTCTCATCTTCTTTTTCGCCTTCCTCAATCTATCCTCCTGATCTCTCCCTTCTATAGACGCCACATCACTCCGTTAGTTTCCTCCCTCTGTCATTCTTCTAATTCTTTGGTTGTGGGCTGTTGTGATTCCACTTGACATTTTCCTAACCCCCCCCTTGTGCTCTTCGGTTGTTTCCTCTTCCTCTACTCGTATTCTTTGACAATCCTACACCTTCCCTTTAGCTCTGATGTTCTCCTCCTGCCTTCCTCCCTCTCTGCGATTCTTATCAAGACCTGGTGATACCTACCCTTGCATACCTCCCTTTGATTTTGTAGTCTTGCCCTTGGGTTCCATACGTTGTCCTATTACTTCTTTCTCTTTCTGTGCACCTCTTTCTTCCCTTCCTTCCCTTCCTTATAACTAACGTCACGACGGCCCTCGGCCTGGCTTTCTTTCCCCTCATCTACTGTCTGCCCCTACCCCGCCCCCTCACCCGGACTTCCGGTCCCCCCTAGATACGTCCTTCTGATCGTGGGTCCGTCGGACATAATCCCCCCACGCTAAGATCTGGGGGGGTCCCTGTGGTTTTGTTCCTTACCTGCCCCTTGCTCCGTCCTCTGACTTGTGCCCCCTTACTTGCCCTCCTTCCTTAGACTCCTTTCAGAGGAACCTGTTCCTCCTCCTTGGTACATCCACCTTCCTGAATTCTGACTCTGGGCTCCTTCCCATCCTCCTGCTCAGTTGTTCATGCTTTCGCTGTCCTTTTTTTAAATCATCTGGGCCTCTTCTCCTCCTAATTACGGTTTGGCCCCTACGCACTCACTCTTATCCCTACCACGTGGTTCCACTTCTCCTTTATACCATCATGTACTCTACCCTGCTCTTTGTTTGCCTGTTTTCACCTAATTTCTCATTGCTTGGGTCCTTCATCATCCCCCCCGGTGCTTGCACTCTGTATTCCCGTAGGTTCGTCCGGGGGGTGGTCCTGATTTGCCCTGGCAGTTAGACACCCTGATACTCCCATTTCGGCTAAGCTTAACCTTCAGACCATGCTTTTTTTCGTGTAGATGCTCTTCTTAACTCATACTTCCCCTCGTACTCTTTCCGGGTCGTAGAGTCGGTCCGGCCGTTTCGATGATCCCCTTAATCTGTTTCTCCGAGGCTTCCTTCCACGAGTCATACCATTCTCTGTTGCTATTTATCCCGACTGGCCCCTTGGCCTTCTTGACGGCGTCACCTAACCTGATTCTAACCTACTCTATCCAGAACGTCAAAACCCTCAGGTGATCTTCTCCTGTTCCTCGGTACCCCCCCTCCTCTTCGTACCCGAATCAGCCTCCTTCTTTTGAGGCGTTTACCCCATGCTTCTTGGCCGGTATTCTTCCTTTATTCCTGAACCTCTCCCCTCTCTCTCAGTTGCTCTGATCCCCTCCTTGACACAGGGGTCCCCCTCCCTCTCTTGCACATGTTCCTAGGAATGTTGTTGCCCCTTATCCCATTCTTCCTGTGGCTCGGTCCTTCATTTTCCTTAGGACATTTTTGCCCTCCTTAGGCTTCGTGACTTTTCGTTACTCTCCTTCCTTTTCCGGCCCCTTGATAGATCTGTCTCTTCATTCTCCAGCCGCCTACGCTCATTTTCACCCCGAGACCATGTCTTCCTTGGGGCTTTCACTCTTGTGCCTGATGTATTTTTGGTTTCTCTTCCCATCTAAGGTACCCGCTCCCTATATTCTCCTTCTGTCTGACACTGCGAGGTTCTTCTCTTGTTTCTTTCTCTTACTAAGACTTCACGCTCTGGACTAGATGTTCTCTACTAGGTGGTCCTCTTCCTTCCCCGCTTCTTGCGTTTGTTTTCTTTTTGACCTCCAGTTGATCGTCTTCCAGGGGACGTCCTCAGACGTGTCCCCCCCATATTACTCCTCCCTCGCTCTAGTTAATCGCAAAGAGATACCCGTTTGGGTTCCCTCCCTAAATCTCCCTTTCTGGTATTCTTTTTCTTCTTCCTTCACGGTTGGCTTTGTCCTTTTCGTCACTTTTCCTAATTGACTTGTCCCTCTCTTAACTCGTACTTCAACTCCTATACTCTGCCTTCCTTCTCTTGTTGTTCCTGAAATTTCTTCGGCTTGTCTTGTAGAGTTCCTTGACGTCCCTCTCCTAACCTCTCTGGGCCCTGAGAGTCGTCTGCCGACGTCACTTTTTTTCCCTTACATCACGCTCCCCCTATCCTGTCTGGCTGGATCCTCTTATACTGCTCCTAAATTGCCGGTGTACTTCGTATATGTCCCTCTCTCTTACGGGCTCCTGAAGAGTTATCTCCTAATCTGACACTAATCAGATTTCTAGCTTAACCTGAAATTCATCTATTCGATCTCTCGTCGCTCTAAGTGCTGTGAGCAGTGGTCTCCCCCTATATAAGTCACATCATCTTGCATCTTGGGCGTCTGCCCCTGTCACATCGGTTTGTAGCCTCCGGGGCTTCTTTTGTAGCTGTTCATACGCTTCCCCCCTCTCTCTTAGTCTCCCTTCCAAGCTCCATGTCCGAGAAATCTCCAATTCTTACTCTTTCTCCTAAGGGTTCCCCTAGTGATTTTCTGTACGGCCTAATTCAGCTTCCCTCGTGCGCACGGCTACGTCCTCACGTGATCTGGACGGCCCTCTGTCTCTAGCCCCTTCCGAGACGCTGCTTCGGTCCGAGGCTTCAGGTCAATTCCATCTTAATCTCTTCGAGGGTTCTGCTGAGTTTATCTGTTTTTTGCCTTAGGACGGAAATTACCCCCTCAGTTGATTTCTCCTCTTCACTTTGAAGTACTCCTTGGACGTCTCTCCTGGAGTCCCCCTTTATTTCTCCCTAGGGGGCTTCCTCCGGGATCTGGCTTAATTTTTATACTCCTTTCTTTAACCCCACTTAGTGATACCACCTACTCTTTGTCTTAGGTCAGCTTCTTGTCCGCCGTCCGTGATAATAGGTACCTTGTCTGGTTAGGACGGCCAAGGTGCTCCTCTACTCAATGGTGAGCTTCTGTCGGGAAGGGGGTACCGGCCTCTCGTTTCTTCAGTTTCCTTGGAAGCAGAGAATCCTTCCTTCCTAAATCAGTCGTCCTGATATTCCCCTTATTTCCTACGTCTTCCTATATGGCCCCTGGCCCCTTTTAGATGCCCGTGATCCATGCTGTGATTCGTTCTACCCCTTTATTTAATACTTCGTTGATATTTTTCCCCCTTTTCGATTTTGACTTCAATCTCCTTCCTCAGGTGAGCTCCTAACCCTCCTCCAAATTCGGCTTGTCGGCTATCCTTCGTCGATCATGATTATTACACGCCTGTTGATACTCTCTGAATTATCGTCTGATATGGGATTCTTCTCTCACTGGGGGTGTTTTGGGGAATTTTCCGGGAATCACGATTCTCTTCTATTTTGTCTATCTCTCCTCCTTTTGACAATTTTAACGAGTCACCGCTTCTCACTTCCCCCTGAAGATCTCTTCGCGTGTGCTGTTCCTCCTCCTTATCGTTTAGTCTTCCCTTAACTTTCCTTCTCTGGGCTTCCCTCCTGTGACTTGTCCATGACACAAAGAACCCCTCTCCTTTATCTTTTCGTTCTTTGACTTTTTTTCTGCCTAACTCCTTAACCTCTATTAGATTTAGCCTCCTTACTTCTCTTCCTGGAGCTGCCTCCTGTGTTTCAGTCATTTTGATTAACCGCCTGTTGTTCCTCGCCTTCATTTTACCTTTGCCTCTTTCCCAGAGTTCGCTCCTCCTTACCCGGTTGTCCTATTACCATTCTCCTCCTTTTTCTCTTTCCTGATTTAATCACTTAATCCTGATTGGCCTTCTGCTTGTTCTGTTATATATCCATTGAGTCATCTTTCTTCGTAATTGCCCGGCTTGGCTTCTTAGCTCCCTCTGCTATTAATTTTGGAAACGATATTACTAGACGATTCCTCCTATGAAGGTGTGGGCTCCGACTCATTTTGCAGGGTCCTCATCGAACTTCCTGCTAATCTTCCCGCTTATTCTTCCCTCCTTCAGTTATCCGATACTCCTCAGTCTTTCCGAAATATTCGAACCTGCTGGTCGCTAGGAAATTAGTAGGAGCACTCCCCCAATTTGACTTCGTTTCCTGTGTTGTTGGATTCTAGCCTCTGTTCTGGTTCAGGTCCTAACCTCCTCATCACCTGTTTGTATTTTCCTGCCCTGCCCTTGGTCAGATGTCGACTCTCTCATTTGGTGTCTGATGGGTTTTGTTCTGAGCTGGATTTTCCTCCTTAGATTACGAGTTCTTTGTCTGTTCCAAGGTGTCCCGTCTCAGTCGTTTTTCTTGTGTTATTCCATAATCCTCCCTCTTAACTCCTCTCCTCCTGCCAAGCTTCCTGATTTGGTTGGTCTCTAAACGTAGAATTTGCCCTTGACGTGTTCATCCTTTATTTCGGTCACCGTCGATATCTAATGATTTGCCGCTTTCCACGTGGCCCTCCTTCATTATCTTGTGAAGTTGGTCTACTCTAAAATTTGTTCTATTATTCCTAGGCTCAGAAACTCTTTCTTCGTTGGACGTTTCATTAAATCTTCTTCACCCTTCTGACTCCCCTTTCTTAATTTTATCCTGCAGTCTCGTCGGTTTGGGTTGTCCGTTTACCTTAGGATTGTATTCTGAGGCTTAGTAATCTTCCGCATCGATGGCTTTATATGGCTTAATCGACTCTTTCATACTCCTAATCTTATAGTTGCCTTCCCTGGTGGTCCTCCTGGATTGCTCCTTTTCTTCTATCGTGTTGTCTTGGCTGGAAGATACCTTAGTTATGATCAATAATTCTGTAATCATTATACTACTTTTGCAGGGTAACGGTTTCTTCTTTCTCTTATTTACCTCTTACGAGGGTCTGATATGCTTGCCTATGTTATCCCTTCCGACTTCGTATGGAACTAACAGATCCGTCTCATCCTACAATATTTTTCATCCACTTATTTAAACACTTATCTTCTGCTTTGTAGTCCTCTAAACGTAGATTCCGGTGATGTTGCGAAATATAAGTGATTTCTTCTGTTCGTTAAGGACTTCTACAAAAACTCACGAATCCCGGGCTCAATTTTCCTTAATTAATCAGGCTGAATATGACATAATCTCTTCAGATAATTATTTCACTGATTATTAAGCGACGGGTTTAGTTCCTCTATACTGTATATTTGCACACTCTATTACACTTAAACCTCATATAAGAATTCCCTCATGGCCAAATCGAGGACCTACTTTTCTACTTTTGTTTGGATTTCATAAGAATTTCTTAACTTCACTCCTGGTGAATGTTTAGCTAAAAGACATGTCCCCATCTTATTAGATGAAATTATTCATCTTATGGATTTAGATTTGTTTACTCAGAAAAGGGGTTAGGACCACCATCTAACACTCTACATCCCTTCTTGGGGGAGAAGGAGACTCTCTTTATATCATCATTTATAGTCTTAGATACAGACAAAAATGAAGTTCCTTTACGACTTAGTATACTTGAGGAACTCAGCCCAAACTCAATATATTATTTGTTGTTCCTTTGCTTCCCATATGATAGAAAACAGGAAACTCTGGATTCCCTATACTTTTCTTGGCATAGGGAAATATTCGGTCCTCAACCTTTTCCTTATCCGGCATTTTTAAGGTGTCTTTTGATTCCACTGAGGGGTTATCTTTGGCAATGTCGATTTTCTGTCTCTTCCTCTTCCTTATCTTGGCGTCTTGTTCTGCTGCTTCGGTATCTATTAATTATGTACCTTTCCTCTTTATGTTCCTTCACCCGGATTGTTATTTCGAGATGCTTCTTCTCTTTTGGTATATTTATAGGGTGTTACATATAGGGGACTGGTTCCTTGGAATCTGATAATTTCTTCAAATATTTCAGTTGTATCGGTATATACATTTTATTATAGTTATCTGCCGCTATATGGTTTTGTCCTTCCCCTTGTTAGATTAAGGAGATTTTAATATCCTATTTCTATTCTTATTCTTAGGCCTCTTTTATTTTGTCGTCTGCCTTCATGTTATTATTATTCCTAACTTTGCACGATAAACAGCCAGTCCTATATAGTCCTATTCGTCTGATTATTGCTTATCGTTCTGTAGAGTATAAGAAATTTAATTTTTGACTCTAAATAATTGGTATATTCTAATAGTAGCGCCTCGGGGTTTGAGTTGATGTGAGAGGATAATATTACAGATTAAGGCGGAGTCGGAATTTTTCCGTAATCATTGTTTTTTATCAGATTCCGGATATTTACTGAATCTATATTACAATAATACTGCGAAGAAATATCCAAAGTTCACGATGTAGTACTGTACTTACAAGGCTACTTTCCCTAGAAGGATTGCTTCCTATTTATAAACAGCCCTGGGATCTTGAAACCCTTTCTAGTGATAGTCTCCCTCAGTTCCTTATACATCATGAATAGCCTTAGGATTGCTATATGCGTATTCTTGGAATGGAATTATTTTACAAGCCAGTGTATTGGTGAAATGGTATGATCTTTACAACTGCCGTCCTTCCCATGGAATTCGACTCTCCAAACTTCTGTATTATCTTAGACAATTTTCCTCCTCACACAGCACTTTACTACATAGAATATTATCCTTGACAGAGGCTTATCCTCAAAACAGCTGTTGTAAGGCCCATTCTTACAGTTAATACAAATATACTGCATGTATCTCGGATTTCCTAGATATGTGTAACGCTTAGTGATTGGAACCACTTCAAGAATATTCCTGCATCCACTCTGTTATCTTTTACTAAATATCTCTTTTTAAATTATAGTGCTTCTTGCTTTAAATCCTTACGACTCCACTATAGGGATTCTTGTGATTCTCCTACGGTTTATGCAGTGATACTTTAGAGAAATGTCCCCTTCTCACATACTTAATAATGGTCGTGAAAAATGTACTCTTTATATATTAGTCTTCCAAGGAAGTATATATCCTCCGCCTTATTCTATTCTTCAAATAATAGCACCCGTTGGCCTAACTTTTTCCTTATAAACGTATTCCAGTCATAGAACGGGCAAGATTATATTCCTGATATCATGGTTCCCCATCGAGATGGGTTATCTTCAGCCAATAATAGTCTCCAAATAAAGAAACTGTAAAATATGAACCTTGTGCAGAATAATATTCAGGAGACATCTATACAGTAAACAAAATAATACTGGAGGTATAGACGCATGGTTCATATAATTGGGCTGTATGCTAATCGTACATTCCACAGGCCCTTATTCCTGGGGGGAGTGATATTTTTTAAATAATACTACACATAAATCATTATTCCTCAATTAGTCACGTTCTCCAATCAGTCGTATCTAAAACGCTATGTTATGAGGCATCCACATAAAAACATTCCTGCGACACTGTACATTACAGAAAACATTTCCGCTAGAATCCTTGCATTATCCATATGCAAGTATTTCTGCCTCTATTGTATTACTCCGGCAATAATACATTCCACACAGCTATAGCGCTTGCACCTGCGCGTAATTCATGGTTTGCTCTCTTCTTTAGAACGTAGCCCTCAATTCTTCACATAATACTCTTTCATAGAGAGCTATACTCATCAATGACTGTTGTCGCCCAAAGAATAGGAACCGAAATTTGGAATACATAGCCCGCAATTCACACACTTTTGCATTTCAGATGGGCATATTGTAGGAGAATCTCTATCTTTCAAATGACGGTTCTTGAGAATATCCGTATCCCTCATACAATACTGCATTTTGAATATCATTACACTCCACACAATGCCACTTCTCATTTTCCCTTCTCTCTACATATCATATAAGTGCAGAGACAATAATTTCTTTCAAATGAATGTGCTACAAGCTCTGTGTTAGT